CACACACACGGACCCCCGTGTGCCCTCCCGCCCCGGTACGGGCGCTGCCGCCGGCTCCGCTGGCTGAGGGGGCCGGCAGCGAAGGGCTGCTCGCTGATTAATTAGCGGTCGTTTCCTCTTCTGCGCCCTTTTCTTCACGGACGTTTTGCGTGTGCTTTGGAACCCGCGCCGTACGTCAGCGCGGTAGCAGCTGTGTGTAATTAACGAGTAAATAAATACCCGTTTGCGGGGACAGGCGCTCCGCCGTGTTTCGCTGAGGGCGTTCGTGACCGAGGAGCTGAGGCGGGCGCTGGCCCGGCGGGTTTGGGCCTTGGCCTTCCCCCGGCGATAACCTGCCCTCGCTGGTATCGGTGGGGCGGATCGTTAAATCACATTAACAATTAACAGACACCAAAGGAGCGGCGTTCATTTTTCCACGGGAAGGAGGTCAGCGCCGGCGAGATGCATGTGGGAGCAGATGGAGACGAGGAAGAGATTCCCAGGAAAGGGGCAGAGATGTGACTATCCAACGGGGGGGGTTGTACTGCAGCTTGTATTTTGTTTTATTTTAACATCTAGACTTGATACCTATAATCCCGTACTCACTGATCTCCCTGTTCTGTTGAGCCGAAAGGTTCGGCTTATCCAGATTTCGGTAAGCTTTTTATTAGGACCAGGCCAGCTCAGCGCTGAACTCATGTTCAGTATTTTCTGTGCTGATTCTTGGACAGCTTTTTTTCTAGATGGCTAAGATTTTGCTCATGACCTGCGACCACTGCATGGGCCGCGTTCTTTATGCATCTCCATAATCTCATCCTGCAGTTTCTCTGGTTATGTCCTCCTGCAGTAATCAAAACTAAGGTTTGCTATGAAGCTTTAGCCCTGACGATCAACAAGGAAACAGTTGAAATGTGAACCGGCAGCTAAACATGAACTTTCCTAGAAGAGAAAGAAAAGAGGTAGATGTGGGTCAGGCTTGTTCACCTCAGCAGTTGAGTGCTGAGACCCAGCAATAAACACATTGCTGAACTGCTGACAAACCCCGCGAGTCTGAGATTGCTTACAAAACCTTGGGATTGCTGAAGGTGGTTCAGTGGAAGAACTCTGCTTTTATTTTGCTGATCTGTCTAGCTTTAAATTTCCTAGCTGTATAGCTTCCATTTTAGAAACTCCTCTAGGAGGGGTTACTGGTATTATTGTTTAAGCTTAATCTCTTTGAGACTGGCTTTTGCTTACTTTATCTGCAGAGCATTGCTGTCTGTTCTCAGACGGTGAATACCTCGATTTTCCAGTGATACTGTTTTCTACAGAAGAATTTAAAGCCCCATTTTTTCCTGCTTTTGACTTGAGGATCCGTGCAAAATCGCTGGCAGTCTCTATATGCTGCTCAGCATAGTTTGAAAGTGGATGTATATTAATAAGTAAGACTTATCAAGTATTTGATCCTGACATAAAACCAAAGTGCTTTTCAGATGCTGTGTTTGTAAACTTAACATACATTCCTGTACTGGCACTGAGGAGAAACAAGCAGTTTGTTAGCGTGGATTTGGGGAGTCATCTTACGCTGGCAGCATTACATAACTATTTCAGGGAGGGAAAGGAAGAACAATTATCCTTTTTAGCCTTCGGGGGAATTTTAAGTACACAAAATGTAATTACTCAAGTTGAAATTTATCCAGGAAGCTAGAATTAACCACCCTCCTCTCACAAAACATATAACAACAGGATCATATGACAATCATGAGTTTCAATTTAAAAGTGAGAGCCTATGAATGAAAGGCCATTATTTAATGTGTACCACTGCTGATTTTTCTCAATTCTCTTTCGCAGCCATTGTGTTGCCATCTTCTGCTCACCCCATGCACTGTTCTAGACCCAAAGGCAACACAAGTGTTTTTTGACTGTGACTTGCACATTCTGCTGGTGCATTCAGGGAGCTCTGTACACTGCTTGTGGGGTTCACATGCAACAGCATCAACATGTGTATATGGGCAAATTCCCATGAAACCTTACTTTAAAAAAAAAAAAAGCAATGCTTTTAAAATACAGAAATACCTAATTTATAATTCAGTTATTAAGTTGTTCAGAATTTGCATTTCTGTCCATTTCCCCACAGAAAAGCCAGCACTAATCCTCTTGTTTTATCTCCAACGCCTGTAAGAAAAGTATCAGCTGTACTAATGTACTATATGGAAACTCTCGTTTGTGTATTTCAACAGGTGAAGGATACAATCCAGCAAAGACACAGTTATAACACAGTCAGATCTCTATGGGTACATAAAAGTCCGTCCCTGCTTCACCAGAATAATTACGTACTGCAGAGATAGTCCATGATGTAAGCACATGTAATTTCATAGGTGGCCAGTGTACCCAGAGGGGCTGGGCAGTTCCACCTCTGGAGTGCAAGCTCCCTTGCCTGCAGCCTCCCTGGAGGTTTTCCCTGGCAGACACGGCTGTGCAGCACAGCCTTTTAAGGGAGAACTCTCTGTGCTGGTTTTGTCTTCTGCACTGAACAGGGTGTTGCGGGTGGTGCCACGCTCGCTAACTGGATTTCTACTTCTCTTTTCAGTGCCCGGTGAGGAAAATCCCCCTGCTCCCACCACGTACCGGCATTTCGGCTCCAGGTAACGTTTTCTGTGCATAATAACTTTCACAGTCTGTGGGAACTGTGCCGGCACAGCGTGGATTTGTCCACCTTTAAGCAGTGTGCAGGCAGGAGAAAGTCTGCCCACCCCTGTGTATGGGTTGGTGCGCTGGCTGTTGGGGAATGGTTTGCTCTCTTCGCCTGTCAGTAAGCTTGTGCTGAACAGGTCAGCCAGCACCGCATCAGATTGCTTGGGAAGTCTGCGGGGCTGCTGGCTGTAAGGATAAAGTTCTTTAAAAGGTGTCATTGCATGAAGAGTAACTACTGCACCACGTCTGCGTCGCACGGAGGCCGCGGGGTATGTACAGTAACTGCAGGACCGGTGGTACGCCGTGTAACCTTGTAAGCATAACTTACTGCCCTGGGTTACAAAACGACTTCTGAATTTCAGCTGAATCACTTTTACTTTCTTCAGCGCTGTAGGGTTAGGGGTGGACTTAACAAAATCTTCAGATATTTAACATCTTTTTCAGCAGCTTTGCCTCTCACTCAGGCAAAACTCTTCCAAAAATTATCATCAAGGTGATTTGTTGTTTTTCCTTCACAGCTGACAGTGCACCCAGGAACCACAGTTACAACCAGTCATTGATTTGTTTCCTGCTTGAGTGCCATAAAACATTTTCAAGAAATGGAAGAAGATAAAGGGCAGAGTGCTAAAGCTACCAGTGCAGTGGGTGACTTGAGGAAAAGTTGGCAGACCTGGGCAGAGGATCACGTTGAATATCAGAGAAAGAACCCGTTCAGCAACAACAACAGGCTTGCATCTAAACCCGTGCATACTCACAGAGGAGATCCCACCTACGGGAGACCCCCTGAAGGGTCTCAGACAGAGCAGAGGGGGAAAGATGCTCACTCACATGTGGGAAAGGAAGTGGAAGAGCTCTGCTTGATCATTAGAAGCACTGGAGAGGTGGGAGAAGATGGACGTGTGAGTGTGACATTCGGGCAGCTGTTTGAAACATACGTGACTATTTCTAATAAAGTAGTGGGAATCTTGTTAAGAGCCAGAAAACATGGTCTGGTTCATTTTGAAGGTGAAATGCTTTGGCAAGGAAAAGATGATGACGTGATCATCACTTTGCTAGAATAAGGCTTTCTCATCTGATGAATTCTGCTGCATGGTTCCGTTTGGGAAAACATAGCTGGATACCATCTTGAAAGAGGTTTTCATTACAAAATTTCAACTCAGCTGCTTCTTGGGGCACGAGCAGGAGAGAAAACGGGTGAGAAGGATGAAAAAATATTTTTGTAAGAATAGTAGAGATTTGGACAGAAATCACAAATAATCTACTAATCCATCACACTGCCATTGGATTTTCCTTTCATTATTGTCATCCACTACCAAGTATATTGCAGTTCTTCACATAACTCTGCTGGATTACTGCTTTAGCTTACTGAAAGTATAAATTACTAACTTGCTACCATACAACACTGATTCTTGTAGGTTGTGAAATACTCGCTGTACGTGGGATTTTGATTTGTAAAACATGGAACTGAAAACTTTTGTGGGAATTCATATACTTCAAAAAAAGAGCCTGGTTTATAGCAAAAGTTTAGGTTATTTTCACATGATGGAACTGAATAAATGGAAGTTATTTTCATGAAGTATATGAAAATTCCTGAATTTACAGAAATATGACGGCAAGCATATCTGATGTTTCCTAAATTAGTTGCATCTTGCATGTATTTTGGAGAGCTGCACTAGTCCTGGTATTAGTCTGTTCTTATTATCATACCTTCTCCAAACCTTCTGTGTCTCTTTTTTTCTTTTCTTTCTGTATCTCATACCATTTTTACCTACCTGTTCTGTTCTTCTAGTGCTATGTCATACCCTAGCAGATCACAAAGCTCTGCAGCCTTTTTGGTGAATTCAGCTATATCCCTTCATAGAAAGTAGGGTGCCACAATATAAAGATGTGAAAGGCAACAGAAACTATATATCGGAGCACTGTGCATTTGTGAGAAGAAAAAAAAAAGTGGCTCTTTCTCGTCTTTCACCAAAATGTAGCAATGTTGTTTACAAGAGGAGGAGAGTAGAGATCCTGTAGTGCCAAATGTATAAATAAAGGTACAGTGGAGCAGTCCCACACCTCATTTATATGAGGCAGAGCTGTGCTTTCAGAGCATAGTTGTGAATTTGCCAAACTGGGAGAAAAAATGATCAGCTAGTTAAAATTGAGACTGAAAGATGACTGATAACAATTTCCTTCATGGTTCTTCTGCGGAAACTTTCTCTGTGTTTAGGGAAAAAAAAAAAAAGGATTGGTTGTATGCAATAGTTGTAATAATGCTATTAAAAATAATCAGGAGCTGTATTTACAATAGTTCCCACCAAGAAAACTGTATAATTAGAAACATAAAGTTCTGGGTTTTACCTGTGCAAATAAAAGCTTTTATGTGGTATTAACTACACTACTTGGTGGGTCTTTAAAGTAAGATATTCTCTTGCCTTGAAAGGATATTGAAATTTAATATAAACTATGAACTTGATAAAAATGATAGATTATTTTATGCTATTTATAGAAAAGAATGTGTTTTTGCAAAAAGCCTGAAAGAATGGGGGTTTGTTTTGACATTTTCATCCAATGGCGGTTTGCATCAAAATAAGCCTTTTGACTGAGCAAATAAAAATACGGATTTTGTTATCCCTCTGCCTCCTTTTCCTAGTGAAAAGACAATGAAAAAAAAGAAAAGAATTTAATGTGTTGAAATAAGTATATCTGGGGGACAGGGGAGTCAGATGCAGGTAGAGCATGGATGGGGAAACAAGGGTGGGTTTTAATCACCACATAATTTTACCATGTTGGAAACTGGGCAATATGTGCTGCACCAGGCACTGCTGGTGTGCATGCCCTTTGTTTTCAAACCCACTCCTTCTTCCTAAACAAATCTATGTCTTGCAGCTGAAAACAAGACATATAATTTGTGATCTTAACACATTTAAAATGCTTTGGTTTTTGGAAAAGCATTTGTTGCCAAAATGACACGAGCACACCTCAGTGGATTTCAGCTCCTGTTAGATAAAGCGTGTACGTACATTTTGATTTTAAACCAAATCAAGCTTTTTATAATACAGCTGTGGAATGCAGTTTGTTTAATTCTAATGATTTTGAAATCCAGTCAATTCTGCTGTAGCATTAGTTCATAGCTTGCAGGAAGCAGTATCAGGTGGTTCAGGTGTCACCAGCTGATAAACAGGATGGTAATATCAGGAAAAATAATACATTATTAGACATTGTACAAATACTACATGAAAAGACACACAGTTGAGGCAGCGTGTAGCCTGAGCACCCCAAGATGCAAGTCCAGCTCATGTAAACTTACTAGTTCTTTATTAAGGTTGGCTCAAATAGTTACGTGTCAGGAATGGAGGCTTCCACTGCCATGTCAGTAGTTAGACACGTACGTGGCCGCTGCTGCGCTCTCTCCTGCTCCTGGTTGGTTTAAATATCACTTGAGTACATCTGCAAGCGCTTTAAGCACACCTCTGCTCAAAACAGATAGAAGCAGAGTAAGCCCTAATGAAACACTCTTAGCCACTTTGTAAGCGACTAAAAAAAGCTTGCCCTATCATGATATTTTGAATAAAATCAAGGATTATTATAAAAAAAGATTATATATAGAGGGATGGATTTTTTTAAACAATTATAGGGCCAAACTTCCTCCCTGCCAGCTTCAGATGAGCATTCTCTAAAGAGTGACTGAAATCTTTCTTTGTGCCCATGCAAATGATTATAAAACACCAAGTTGCCAAACTGGGTCAGCACGCAGGTTGACAAATCCCATCTCTTGCTCCCAGCAATAGCTGGTATTTCAAAAGGAGTCTAAAAGATAGATAATACAATTTGTCAGCTTGCCCACTGGTACGCTCCAGAATAAAAAGTTACTCCTGAAGCTTCTGTAGTCATGAGCGCAGCATATCTAATCCACATGACTCAGTTTAGCTAATAGTTTACAAGTTTTACAAAATTCAGCTCCCTCATCTGCAATGTGGGGATTAGATTGGCATCTACAGATGAAACAGGAATTTAAACTTCTAAACAGGCAACTTTTTTGCAGCAGGCTCACATTAGAGTAAATAGAACAGAATTTATTAAATTACTTTTACAAAAATTGTAGCGTGTGAGGCTTTTTTCATATTACGGATTATTTGGAGCAGTAAGTAAACTCTGACCTTCTAAAAGGTGTTCTTGCCCTACTAAGTAACTTTCAGCTCTTCAAACCTCTCCTAAACTTCACTTCTTTGTGGCAAGCTCCCTCAGTGGTCTTTCCTCTTCCTCCACTTGAAGCCTGTGAATTCTGCATGTTTTAGACTGCACATCGTATGGGGATTATCTGTATTTTGTCAAACACTGAAAGCACTTTGAGCACTTCAATAAACGTTGCATGTCAGTTTGAAATGACAGCGAGTTTTTATGCAGCATTTGGTTGTCTCCAAGTTTGTCAAATTTCAAATACAATTTTCACTGGTTTGCTCCCATTTTTATGCTTTTGTTTACAACTCCCACTTAAGACTTCAGAAGAGCTCGAGGAACTATTATCAATTTAATCGCATTGAAAACGTTGCCCTTAGTCAAAACACAAACTTTTCTTTTTTATTCTACATTTAACAGCGTTGTATATCTGTTTCATCCTTTCAGAGGGAGCAGTTAGTACTTCAGCATAAAAGCATTATTCTCTGGGTTCGCATTAGGTTGGGAGTTTATGTAAAACAATTGAGCAAACGAGTACAAATAAAGCTTTGTCATTCCTAAACATGTAGTCAAAAAAGCAGCTTTTCTTACGACTGCTAATACTGGATCAAAGAAAAACAGAGCCAGGTGCAGTGGCTAAGCAATTTTCCTTTGTTTCTCCAGGCTCTTGGAGAGTAAGAGCTGCCGAGTTCCCTCTCCAGGAGTATTTTATTGATCTTTGCTCACTGGAAAGCTCTACAGATGATTTTGGAAGTTTTAAAATGCTGCTGTAGAAGAGGGTGACATAGTTAACGGGACCTGCCTACTGCCTCTTCCAGGGACTAGCCAGTAAGTCTGAAACATATTCAAAGCATGAGGATAGGCTTTTCAGAAAATACTTCTTAGCCTAATTAAAAAAATTATCTGCTAAGTCCAAGAATGCTTGTCAATACAGATGGAAAATGGAACAGGGTTCTATGCTGAAAAACACTAATGAGATACTGAGCATTCATCTCAGTAATTAACGTGGCTCTGTTGAATGCTTTGTTGTTTTGAGCTGGTGTGAGGCCTGTCTGCTGCTGTCAGAGAAAAGTTTAATTCCCCATCTTGTTCATCAACCAAAGTTGGGAAGCTAGATTATACCCCGATTTTTACCTTTCCAGTCTTGTTGTCACTAGCGGGACCCTTCTCAAATGTAAGATAGAGAAGTTGACCTTTATGCTTCTGTGCACATTTGACAACATACGGGGTCTGGCTGGGGTGGAGATAATTTTTCTTCTCAGCAATAAAAGGTGAGGAAGGTGGCATTTGGGGGGGGGGGAAGAAGCCACTGCTACTGGCCTGCTTGTGGGAGATCACGAGCAATTACCTTTGCATCACATACCTTGGTTTTTTTCCTTCCTCTTTCCTTCATTTATTGAACTGTCTTCATCTCAACCCATGAGTTTTCTCACTTTTGCTCTTCCCATTGTCTTTCCCATCCCACTGGTGTCGGGGGTGAAGAGCAAGCAAAGGGCTATCCAGGGTCAGCACCCCCAGTCAACCGTTCCATTGCACTGGAAGATCATTCCAAGATTAGCATTTATTCTGTTTACTAATCCTTTTTGACAACAGTTCACGTTGATACTTTAATATTACATGTCACAGTTAAATACAGTTATGTAAATTAATTTTAAATCAGAACACATATACAGTATTAACTCTTGAAAGATCTTAATGTACAGATATTTCATAAAGCTAGGCGCCAGCTCAAACGTCCTAATCTATTGCACAGAAGTAGTCAGTGGCTTTAATTCACACTCTTCGTTTCTAATGTTACAAATTAAGACCCTAAAGGGCTGCAAATGACATGTGAGTGCCCACTAAGAATAACAAGACGGTATCAGGAACAAGGTCTTACAGAAAAGAGAGGTATAAACTCTTCTGGGTAGAAAACGTTGTTCTTCAGAAGGGTGTGAACTTTCTGAAATACTACCTATAGTTTACTGGAAGAATATCACAATACATTGTACCCCTAAGGCAAGAGGTGCTGGATCAGTGGAAAACACGGAGCAAATAATGTTCCGTGAAGCCTGCAGGTGCAAGAGACCATCATCACCTCAGCTGCATCTAAATGCATCGGCCAAGGACACTTGATGAATTAGGCACCAAGAGATACACGCTGTGAACGAAGGAAACCCACTCCCTGTTTTCTGGAGTTTTAACTTCCCAAACAGTCTGCCTTAATATGGTATTGAAAAACAGAGCACCAGCATTACTGATTAGAGTCACAGGGCAAAGGCAAATGTTCAGCAGGTTCCTTCAGCAACCCAACATGTTCCAATTTTGGGCTGAGTCCCTGCTATCCCAAATTCAAATCACATTGCTATTAGGCAAGCCTGCCACATGCTCACTGTGCTAAAGACCCATTTCTCTTATGACTTCATTTAGAAATCAAATTTAGCCAAGGCATTAGTAATCTCCAAGAGACTTCCAGTGAGAACAATATCAGACCCATCTAAAAAGTTGGATTTTTTTTTTCTACCATCATGCAGAAGAGCCACATATTAAATCAATTCCTCTGAACTCTTCACATCTTTTGTAAACATACAATAACTAATTTAAAGTATTGTGCACATGAGAGGGAAAATCTTTAAGCCCAAGATACAACCACTTACACATACGTTTAAACTATATGTTATATAGCATTATCACATCTTGGGCACCTATTGTAGTCAACATTTACTATGTCGCTGTCATGCAAATAAGCCAGGTAATACATTAAAGTGGTTTAGCACCAGAAAGTCAGTAGTGTACTTTCAGCAATGTACCTACTAATAACTAGGCAGAAGTAATGTATCATACAAATACAGATGGAAACTTGAATGTTTTAAATGTTACTTGCAATCCCAGAACAATGCATCCTTAAAATAAAAGCTTGATTCCGCAACAAATATTCCCTTTGGTACCGTGTACATGCTGTTAGTAGTAACTTGTTGCCTTAGTTGCAATACATTCTGCTGCTATACCCTGCCTTTTACTAGGAAAAGTTCTCTGCATGTGTGCATATGAGTGTGTATGTTATGAATATATATATACACACATATAAAATTATAATTAAAATACATTGCCTTATTGTCAGAGAAGTATACAGACTCAAGTATCTCAATGGGAGAATGAGGTTGGCAGCTACAAATTCTGTGTATATTTCCTCATAAGGAACTAAAGCTTTTTTTTTCATCCTTGTATATTATTGGCAACATCAAACTGTGCAACCTTAAATCAGAGTTCAAAGACAAAGAACAAACTGGCTAGCAACACAAGGCTAAGAGTGCTTTCAGTTGGCAGCATTTTCAGTTTGCAGTCGCTCAATCAGTTGTTCAGCCTATGAAAGAGAGAAAGCAATGCATTAACTACACCGTGGACCTTCAGTTTACTGAAAATTCCATTTTAAAAATAGTGACACTGACAGAGCATTTACTCTTCATTTTTACAGACAAAGCATGCAACAGAAGCAGAATACAATGATTGCTTCAAAGAGCAGACTCTTTTTCACAGTTTTCATCAAACTCCCATTAGGTGATCAGAAGAGGAAACAGAACCCATGAAAGTCAAGAGGATGTTTGAGCAAATAAACAGCAGATAAAGCAGCGTGGTTTTAAAGACCTCAGAAGGCAGCAGTGCTCAGAACCACCAAGCTGTGAGACCTGGAATTCTTTGGGAGATGCTCCAGAACAGCACGTTGTGGCCTCTCATCTCCCACAAGCTGCACACCAGCCACATACATTGCTGAGGGATGGAGTGCATTCCTGTGTGTGGTTCACGTCATGAGATATACATCCACTCTTTGGTTATGTCACTGTGCTCACACATACTTTTCTCATTGTATGGCTATTTATGCATCTAGTGCATAACCGGGACAGCTGTATTTGGTATACGTAACAGCACCAGCCCACAGAGCCCTCAGAAAGGCTCAGGGCACAAGGAAGTCTGCCATCGTTGTTCTAGCAGGCCAAACTGGGCACATGGAGACTACCATGGCCACTTTTGAAACAAATCAGTTTACTGTCAGCCTTTTTTTTTTTTTTGCCAGTCCCACTGAATTAATCTTTTAATTTGAACTAGTGCTTGAGGTTTTAATAAGATCTCCGAAGAAACCACATTAAAAGGTGAAAAGCTTAAGTTTGGCATGTTTTAAATGCACACAGTAAAAAAGCAATCGGCTACCAAACGTAGGAACTACTTAACAGCACTTAATTAGCTCTTGCAGTTTATTTGCAAATAAAGCTAGATAAAGTGTGGAGCAACTGAAAATGAAGTAATCTGAATCTTGTTTTGAGCTCTTTAACAAGTATCACATTCAAGCTATTACAATTAAAAAAAAAAAAAAAACCAACCCCAAACCCGAAAACAACTCAAGAACACTTTCCAACTTGACAACAGGGCAAAGTAGTTTTTGAAGTGCATCCATATTGGATAACCAAACTTGGTACAGATCTCCCTGAGCTAATCCAAGATAGCAAGCAGTAAAACTACACAGCCATACTTTGAGGGCCAAATATCTGTGTGATGCTCTACAACACAGCAAAGACACATCTGCTTTTTTCAAGCTAAGTGAGATCTCCAGCAAGGTACCACTGTGGAGAAGCTGAGTTTTTTCTCTTCAAGTAAAAGGCTGTCTGTATTCTTTAGCCGAGACAGACCTTTTTCAGCATCTTTGTTTTGGGGCTGTGCAATGACACCAGGATGCTGTAGCTACATTGCAAGGACAGGTTCTTTGCTGCGTCAAAGCAGCGAGGGTAAGCTTTGGTTCTCGAGAGAGAGATTTTCAAATGGTGATTTAGTCGGTGCCAGTTTAGTCTCATTGCTTATCTCTACTGACACAACTGAGTGCAAACAACATTTTTGTAAAGCAGACACTTGTTTTAGTCTACAGATGACAAGATGAGAAAAAACATGTGAACTGATAAAAGCAATCATTAGGTGGACATGTTTTTCACCTAAATGGGATGAACCAGGGCATGTACAATACAGTCCATCACATTTGAATTTATCCTTTTAAATTAAAGAACAACTACTTATAAAGTGTCCTCAGAACCACATCACATTCACCTGAGCTACACATTAGATCCAGAACTCCTGTATCGTTTGCTGTTAATGTTATTGGCACTCGTCTCCCCTTAATAAGCACAAACATTAAGGTTTTTAACATTATATTTTTGCAAATAGTTAATGCAAAATATACAAAACTATTAATTACAGTAATGACAACAATAATTGCTCAAAGCATTTTTGGACATAGTTAAAACGTTAAAAAGACATCACATTTTCAGCTTGCAACTGAAAACCTACCAAAAAGCTCATCTGCATTACACTTACCGTGATAAACCAGTAGGAATTGATTCTGTACACGAGTCTGGATAAGAATCCTAACTGACTGGCTGGGGCCAGGACGTGAAGATGCAAGTGGGATATTGAGCAGAATGGAGGCCAGTGAAAACCCATCCTTCAGAAAAGGAAAACAAGTGAAAAATACTGGTGATGTTAATTCAGGAAGAAGTGGAACATCGTAAGTTATTTAACATAATCAACTGAATTAACAACTCAATGCATTGCATTTTCCTTGTAAAAACCATGCCTCTTCCCTTCAGGACACTCTCAGGGAACCTTTTCAAAAGCCCATTAACCTCATCCTTCACATCTCCCTATTTAAGATACATTTTGTTAAAAAGGAGAGTTTAAAAAAATAAAATGTATCTTAAATGTATCATATCTAGTTTTCAGCTGGAAAGCCAGCTGTCACCCTGTGAATGCAGTTTCTACATATTTTAAACATGAAGGCCCAGCTTCCCTATACTCTACACTATTTAAATTATATTACAATTTACTTCGGCTATCAAAGGCACTGACTTAAACTAAAGGGTGCAGCACCAAAATCAAAAGAATGCAGGTATGACTGAAACACAATGCTGTGCCCTGCCTGAATAGGACAAAGTTTACCTCTCTTTTGGAATCTAGGATTTAGAGCATATTTTCAGCACATAATTAAAGAGCAGCCTTTTAGATAAGTTGTTTGAAGTGCCCTCTCTATCCCAAGATGTGGTCAAGAAAGAATCTCAGAGTTGGAGCGCAATCTGTGCTGGAAATTCCTCAGAAAAAAAGTCTGTATTCAATGCCAGCACATTCTACTTGAGAAGTCATGCGGTACGTGAACGCAGACCTGATTTCTTCAATAAATCACACTGCAGTTGTTGCCACCATCTCTAAAATAGCATTCTGAAAAGTAAAAAACATACTCAATAAACACAGAAGGTTTCCATTACATACCTTACGTCATTCAAGTCATTAAAATTATTTCTCTGGAGGACAGCGTTTCCAACTTCCATCATTCTCTTTACTATTAAACACAAATAAATTTCATTTAATGTTTAAGTAATATTTTACACATCGTATGTCATCAAGTAATTTAAAAAAGGTGTTCTTCAGAATATTAACTTCAACAAACTGGTTACAGTGAGATCACACGCACAGGTTTTTCAAAAGATAAATACTGTAACTACTCATAATCAAACAAAGATTGTCAAGACAGTGTTGTGCAATGACTGACATGAAAATTGCCACTGTTACCAATTTCCGCACTCATGATGCTTTTAAGTGGGACATTATTCTAAGAACTTCGGCCAAAGCCATGCTATCACCACACCCTTATAAAAAAACCCCAACAAATACTGATTGGTCAGAATGATGATGTCTACACTACTTCCAGGGTTATATTTCTACTCAGCTACAGGACTTTAATCTCTAGGTCCCGTGCAGCCTGACATAAGTTAGGAAGTTTCAGAGACAGTACATAAATTCAAATGAAAATAAAATAAATCTGTCGGTCCTACTTATTACTAGGACAAAGTTTCATTACTGTATCACTGAGAAAAAGAGCAACCCTAGTACAAAACGTCAAAGCAAAAGCCTAAGGAATCGTCTTGAAGCCAAACATGTAGAGGAGTTGTTTCTGGAGAAAACTACATTTAGAAGAGAAATACAGTGATGCAAGATTTGCAACTACAATTCTTTTCCTGCATCACCTGTAAATTTCCCTCAGGTGGAATCTCTTCATGCATGTATGGCTGTAGTTTCTTCTGTTACTCAACACACTTAGCTAGGCATTTCCTGTGAAACAAATTCCAGGACAATGTTTTCTTACGGGGGGAAAAAAAAAAAGCCTATCAACAATAAATCATAGTTTCAATATTTTAGAACTTTATCTCTGCAAAAATTATTTAAGTTTATTGGGACACCATTTCCCTTTCTCCTCTCAGTCCCTTTTTTCCTGAAAACTAATGTAGCACTTATTTTAAAATAATATAAATTTTATAAAATTCTTCTGTAATTTTTCATATAATTTAAAATTGCATATATATCTGAGAAAACGCAATGAAGCAGCATGCAAACACTTTAAAAACAAAGTTGCGGTTCCAACAGAACGCGGAGGCATCTATGCTCAGTGCAAACAACAGAGATTTCATGCACTAGTGCAATGTTTTTCTAGAAACCACAAAAAAATATGCTGTTCTGGAACAGCACGCAGAAGTTCCCAGGAAGGGCAAGTCCCTACCTACACTCACTCACACCATCTATTTCCATGTTTACATCCTCAACTAAACGGTGCTCAGAGGTGTCATTTACTTGACAATGCACTGTTTAAGGCTGTGCAAAATTACTTTCCGTTAGGTTGAACGCACGCTTACAGCCTTACCTACAGGTATGTGTTCTGCCTTCAGCGTTTTGCAGTTTCCCATGTGCTCCACCGGCACCACCAGAAAGTGGTGGGGGGCACCGGGTCTGATGTCTCTGAAGCAAACCAGGTCTTCGTACTAAGAAAGGATGCAAACGCATTAAATTGATTAGGACGAGGATACTGGCAAGGAGTAGGTAACAAGGCCCGCCTTCCCCATATCGACGTGATGATGCTTAACGCCATATTAGAAGCAACCAGCAAAAATCGTTGGGATGTGCGGAGCCAGCCTACAGAAAGGCTCGCAGGCGCGATTTGCGTCCTCCGCTGACCTTCTGCGGCCAGCGCTCCCCGGCGTCAGCTTTAAGGCTCCTAGCTGTTGAGTTGAGCTGAAGGGCTCCCTCCCGATGGATGTTCCCCCCCCCGTCTCCATAAAGGACACCCCAAACCCGCCCAGCCCTTTAAAGCGGCACCCTTCCCCCGCGGGCAGCCCGGGCACCGCCTCGCCCGGCGGGAGGGCTGTCCCCAGGCCACCCACGCAGCACTTCGGGGTTTCATCCCCCCCGTTCTCACACGAAGCCCCTCAGCCCCTTCTCCCGCTCGCCCGGAGCCCTGCCCCTCGGGCACCCCCATCCCCACAGGAGCCCTCACTCCGGCCACAGCCGGAATCCGGCTCTTCGTTAAAAAAAACCAAAAAACCAAAAAGGCAACGAACGACAACCACCCGCCAGGGGCCAACAAAAGCCCCTCCGCTGCCCGCGGGGGAGCCGGCAGGACCCCCACCTGCGGCAGAGGAACGAAGGCCGCCCGGGGGAGGCCGCTGCCGCCGCCCGGGGCGTCCCTCACCCACCTGGCAGGGGAACAGCGCCGTGCCCGGCTCCTCCCGGCGGGCGATCCTGCAGAACGCGCACTTGCCGTCGTAACCGCCGCCGTTCCCGGCTTCTTTCCCCTCACCGGCGGTCGCGGCCGCGGCCGCCCCCTCCTCCTCCTCCCCCGCCGCCATTTTCCCTTCGCCCTCCGCCTGCGGCC